TGTTCTGGATTGGCTGATCACGGGTTCATTACTTTGAATAGGACACGCACAGCACACAGTAGAGATAGGGGTTGTGGTTTCAGTGCTGTGCTGTAACTCCCCATAGGAACACCCAAAAATTGGGCTACAGCTTGGGGTGAAACTAGAGCCAACCCCATTTATTGCACAATCACAGGTTGTGATACTACTTTACATACTTTATATGTCAGTCTATAGAAGTAAAAGATGTGTACATTGTACAGTATATTGTAAATTGTGAAAATGAACCATCAGTCATTTCAGATTGAATTACAAAATTAAATATAAATACAATTTTGTAATTATTTTAGATTAAGCATGTGTTTATCAGATTTTACTAGGTATATGTGTATGACAAGGTTAGTGGTGAGAATGTGCACTAAGGTTGATGAATTCCCTGGGAAAGCATGTGTATTGTAGATGCTCAAATAATCGAGACGGCTTTCCTGCCAATGCTGACTATGCATACATCTGTGAGTTATAACAGCACTTTATTGTAGCGCAAAGATTTCACTGTATTTAGTAGCTCAGTAAAGCAATGAAGAAGGAAATAGAAGCAGATGTTGAGTGCTTCAACATATATAGAAATGGCTGTTGATGATCTGGAGAAAGGTTTTATCATACATAGCTTTACACTATTACAATTCTAAGAAACACTCTATTACAGTACTAAAGATCATGTTTATGTATAAACTTTCCCCATATGTTACCTTTGTATAATATCATATAAATATAGATATGTAGGGCGAAGGAAACCATCTGCCGTTAGAAGATCCTAAGGGTTCATTGTGATTTCTAGTCAAACCCTGCAGTCTCCATTCCAACACATGAATGGAAAATGCAACATTTGACATGAAAAGACTGTGTTTGACGTGCTTTGCCTACCCTGTCCTTAATAGGACAAGCTGCTTCCGCAAAAATACAGTGCCCAGTGCAAAGCAGATCATTGCAGTCTCTAAACTGTCAAGTGTAATCTGGTCAATTAAAGTCTAAGGGATTTTGCTGAACTGCATTTGACATGCATTTTAAATGCACATCAAATGCAAAAATATGCCCATTGACATAATCTCTTAAGCAATGCCATGCAGAGTGAAAACACAAGACTTCTGCTAGAAGAAAAACACATAATAACTGGTAATTCCGGGTATAAAAAGTGAAGGAGTCACTCCCCTTCCACGCAGTCCTGAGGTTTGGTCATTTGCCCAGAACTGTCAAATTGGCAAGTAGATAGTGCTCAGCCCTGTGTAAGCTCCCACTAGAGTGACTGTGTAAGAGAGCTTACACGGGGCTGTCTTTCCTCAATTAATGCAGTGGTGTGTAGGTGCTGCAGGGGATTATGTTGCTTCCCCCTGTAATTTAAATGTGTGAGGTGTGGCTAAGATATTAAAGAAATAAAAAATATTAGAGGCAATTAAGGTGGCCTGTAATCTACAATAATAAATCAGCTTTTAGAAACTTACACTACTTAGACAGGCAGATCTATCTTATTTCTAGCAGAGATTTGTCTGTCATCACTAATACTGCCATTCTTCTTTACCCACAGTTGTTGTAACCATATTCAAGTGATATGAAGCACCAATACACACTCAATGAAAAGACCATTTCATGTACTGTAGAAAAAAGGGGAAGAATCCTTTATTAATAACAGATTTTTTCATTCAATTACAAAATGTCTGTAAGAGATAATGAGCACTCATACTTGTTCATATCATTCACAAAAGGTGTAATATCTCTGCCCCGTAGTATATACCCTGTCTGAACCATTCTCACTGTTGTTTGCAAAAATGTAAAGTGGGATGAGCACCCATAGGTTGGACAGACACATTAAATTTGATCTCTGCTCCAATCCACCCACCACCGTTTTCTACAGTTATGCTACTAATTAAATCAGTGGTAGGCATATTCACAATTTTCAGTATTATTCAGTCTGTCAATGATAAATGTAAGCACAGTATACACAAATAATTCAGTTTCCTCCCCAATTGATAGCTGTGGAAGAAAGTAACCCAAGTTAATAAATTCACTCATAAGTAACTCTAGAATTATAAGAATCAGCTGTATACCATGGGATTTCAGCCATTGTCTCTGTATCATAGGAAAACTCTACACCCTACTGCTGGTTTGGCAGTGATGCTTTACTTTTAGTTTTTGATGTAGTCATTGATTATTTTGACAGTCTGATAGCAGAAGAGCTAGGAATGACTAATGATGGTACATTTATGAATATACTGTATGCTTACGCAGGTAAAAATAGCTGTGCTATTTTACTTTCTGTAGTTCAGGGAAAGTGTACACAGTAATCTCACTCACCTTCTCAGCTTTTATTACACTTGTATAGATGTGCATAGTGAACTGCATATGAGCAACCCTATTACTATGCCTAAAGGTGACACATAGAGTAAAAGCTGCTTCATTCCTTCCCAAGATATGAATTAAGTAATATCCATATACATTAATTGTGCTTCAAATAGTCATTCCAGTCACTTCATTATTAGATCTCATGCAGCTTGGCACTATTAACTGAACAGTGCATTTTAACCATAATCATTGAACCATATGTAACAAATTAAAATTCTGTAATTTTCCATTCCATTTCAAAGTTGCACAGGGATTTTTTTAAATATTGAAGGCCAACTCCTGCCAGCTTTCATCAGACTGGGTAAGATAGAGTTTCTGGTGCGTGTTTATTGCTGTCTGTTTCCTCATTGGAGAGATTCTCCCTCCCCTCCTGGCCCTATGACATCAGGTCATGCTGTAACCCCTCCCCATGCTAGAAAATAAATGTGTTTTTATTGCTTTTTCTGTCCCCATCAAAGAGATATCCCAGCACTTCTTATCCTTGTGACATCGTATCACTGGGACAAGAAATGTGCCTAAATGGCCTCTAGTAGGGGCAGAGACCGTAGTGAATACCTCATTAATATTCTAAAGCTTTCCACATCTGTAAAAAACTAAAAAGTAGATTTTGACAGAGTGGTGCTAGCACTTTTTATCAATTAGCTATAAAAGAGAAATAAACAGTTAAGACATTAGGCTATTTGGGCCTAAACTAGTAATAAAAAGTAAGTATATGTTTTATATATGCTGTACAAAATAATCTCTTAATAGGATCTGCTTCAAGCACATGCTTCATAAATCAACTTATGACATTTCATATAGATCAGCAGCTGCATAGGAGCAAGGTTATTCTAACACAAAAGCTGAGCCTCTCCCACATTTATACCAGATAATGGAGTTTTATAAGACAGAAGCAAAAATGATTGAAGCAATAGTCTCAATTCTACAGCCACCAGTAAATCCTTTGACTCCAACCTAACCTATTATAGCATAGCACATACATATACTTAAGCCTCAGCAAAAACTCCACAAATCATTTTTACTGAAGACATAACTACTCAAAGCACATACAAAGTTCTGTAAGTGCTTTAAACAAGTGTAGGCTCCACACCACATATGCGGGTCCATTACCAGTAAATGATGTGTCTGCAGGAACACTATATACAGCATCATTTACACTACCATTTAGTTGGTATTGATATATCAAGCTGTCTTTTGCAAAATGCTTGTGTATATCCCTGGGGCAATGTTCACAATGAGATATAGACGACTAATTAACATGTCTCAGTAATTAAAACATCATGCATAGATAAAACCTGAAATACATCATGCATTGCAGTGTGCAGAATTAAGTTAGGAACCCTAAGTCTCTTGTGATTTGTAAAGCTCAGCAGTCAGAACAATGAAAAACACAAAACAAGCATAATGTTATAGATGGGCTAAGTTAGCCTGCGTCCTTTCATAACCTGAGCGTGCTTGTATGAATGCAGTACAGCACAGACCCCTATACAAGTGGAAGAACACACTGGCTGTCCATGGTGCTGAAATCTGAGGCTGCCTACTGAGAACACATCGTCTGTCCATGGTGCTGAAATTGGAGGCTGCCTTCTAAGAACACAGCAACTGTTTACGCGCTGAAATATGCATCAAGTAGAAGAACACATTGGCTGTCCATGGAGCTGAAATCTTAAGCTGCCTACTAAGAACACATCGGTTGTCCATGGGGCTGAAATCTGAGCTTGCCTACTAAGAGCACAATCACATGGGCTGTCCATGGAGCTGAAATCTTAAGCTGCCTACTAAGAACACATTGGTCGTCCATGGAGCTGAAATCTGAGCTTGCCTACTAAGAACACATGGGCTGCCTATGGTTCTGAAATCTGCGGCTCCCTACTAAGAACACATCAACTGTCTATGGTGCTGAAATTTGGGGCTGCCTACTAAGAATATATGGACTGTCTATGGTTCTGAAATCTGAGGCTCCCTACTAAGGACACATGAACTGTCTGTGGTGCTGAAGTCTGAGGCTGCCTATTAAGAATACATGGGCTGTCTATGGTTCTGAAATCTGAGGCTCCCTACTAAGAACACATGGACTGTCTATGGTTCTGAAATCTGTGTCTCCCTACTAAGAACACATGGGCTGTCCATGACTCTGAAATCTGAGGCAGCCTACTAAGAATACATGGCTGCCTACTAAGAATAAATGTCTAAGGTTCTGAAATCTGAGGCTGCCTACTAAGAATACAGCAACGATGTATGGTGCTGAAATCAAAGGCTGCCTCGTAAGAACACACAGAAGCTCTCTGGTTCATTTTTAGATCCACTGCATACCTCTACACATACTTTAGAGAGTCCAAGGTAACCTTGCTTAGTAAAACAAATAGTGCAGGATCTCATTAATATACATTGGAAGATAACGTGCTGTACATACAACGCCGGGTACATAATTTGTACTTGAGTGTACACTGGTGATTTAATTACGTTTCTGTACACAACATTAAACATAGATCTGGTTGTCTTCCAATGTACATCAATGTGATCTTGCAATATTTCTATGTCAGGTCAATTAATGAATTAACCCTGGCATCCCCAACAAGCAGATGTACCCTATTGCACCTGGATGTATAGGATGTATCTGTGTGCTAGCAGGACACTGACCTGTGGTTTTTCTGGCTGTCCTTTTTCTCCATGATTGCCGGTACACAGTTGGTGAGCTCGGTCCAGTCTGCATGCAAGCCACAACTCCAGCCGGTAGAGAAGCGAGAAAATAACCAAGTCTCCTTCCTCCCAGGACGGTGACAGGTGCACTTTTTCTGTCCTGGCTTACAGTCACAGGGCTGTTCCAAACGGATATTCCTGACCAAGTGCCTCCCAAAAGTAGTGCCTCCTGTCTTCTGGATGTGGAGGAACACTATAACATCGTCCCCCTTGATGTTAAAATCCACAAACCTGTAAAGGTCTTTGGCCATGAAGCTGAAGGTCGGCTGGAATTTGGGGGGGATGTTATCTTCTGGAAGTTCACTCTCATCTTCGTCACTCTGCCACTGAGCCTCTGCCATAGCTGGCAGCTCAGCGGACTGGTCCCTCGCAGGGTCCCCTGCCCTGAAATGCCAGGAGCCGGTCCCAGCTGGGCAGACGTACTGGTAGACAATCATGACAAAGAGGACAGCTAGAACCGGCGCCAGGATCAACTTGTTGGCTCTGTCATCCATGATCCCAGAGAAGCTTTTTTCATGAACGCTCATAGAGGAGAATGAATGCACCTTTATTCTGTTGGCTGACATCAAGTCACATAAGTCAGCTTGGCTTTCAATGTCAGGGTGATGTGTTGGTTGTTCCTTGTACCCATTTCCAGAGGAAATGCTCTAGCCCAGACTGCGTGGCACGCATTGGTTGCTTTGCTAAGGGGGAGAGCAGGTGCTGCGATGTAGAGAACTAAGTTCAATGCGGTACACAAGTTACAAGTGTGTGGAGGACACGTGAAGGTGCCAGGAGCCGGCCATACGGCAGCATTCCTCAGCTCGCTCCTCTCACCGCCAGCACAAGGAAATCCTCACGCCTTCTGCTCAACGGGATGGGAGCTGGATGCTGGAATTTCTCATTCACACCAAGCCAATGGCAGAGCAGCGTCTCCGTGCTGGCAGCCAATCGCCGGCTTCTATTGAGAATAAACCAGACGGGACAGTGGACCAATGGAAAAGGTAAACGGGGAGTAGATGGACTCCTACACTGCAGACAGCGGAGGTAAGCCAATGAGAAAAGCAATGACTACTGATGGGGGGGTGCGAAGTCTGGGAAGAGCCAATACGGCAAGGATCTGGCACAGCTGTTATGTGGGAAGGAAGACATCCCCGGCATACCTTTACATGTGCTTCTCCCAGTCCTCCGCTGCACTGCAGACTTCTCTGTGTGCTGATGAGCAGTTACTCAGAGTAAACCTCTTATCTGTAAAATAAGGGGGGGGGGGCACCTTCTAAATATTATAGGGGGGGGGGGCCTTCTAGATATGATACTGAGCTGACACAGAACATGGATGCAGATCAGGACAATTAAAGTCCAGCTCCACTTTTGTTGAGGAAAAAAAACAATCCCTTCATTAAGATCAATGTACATTGTTAGGATTTTAAAGGGGAACTCCAGGAATGTACATAGTAAAAGCAGAACAAAGCTCTGAACAAAAGCCTTTTAACCCTTGCAGAGAAGGTACCCACGCACTGCAAGGATTAAAGAGGAACTTCACCCATATCTTCAAAAATGACAACAAATGCACCTTTAGAAATGTTTAGTAATTACAATCTACACACACATACTTCTTTTTTTATTGAATATATATTTATGAAATTATTTGAATGACAAATATACATGTATACATATACATTTAAATACATGAAAGTACTTACATTAAACATAAACACTCATTCAATTACATATTATTTAATATTTCCCCTTCCTTATTTTCCCAAACATTCCATCTGTAAGAGATCACCTTAATCTTACACACACATACTTCTAGATAATTGCCGGCTTTGTATTCTCTGCATACCTTAAAGTGACATTAAAGGACAGTTCCACCGCTCCCCCCCTCCCCCCATGCTAATGTAAGGACTTACCTTAAATTATGCCTCCCTCATCCGATCATCTTCTTTCCCTTAGTTTCAGGAGTCCCTCCAGCGCTGGTGCCGGTCTCTGATCCAGCGCTGACTCTTCTGTCTTAACTGTCACTTCCTGTCCCACAGAGTCTGTGCGGGTACCTGCTGCTGCATCAACTTACCCTGTGTCTCTCCTGTCTCCCAGCTGAAGATCTGAACTGCACAAGCACCCTCTCCAAGATCCTTTGCAGCCGCCCAAGAATCTTCAAATCGGTGGACAGGAGCGCGGCGGAGACACAGGTAAGTTTTAACCCTTTTGAAAAGTTTTCTTTTTTTTTTTATGTTTTTGCATATATCTACTGCTTTCTAGCAGTAGATATATGCAAAAACACGCAAGGGTTTAGTAACCCTTTAATTTTCTTTTCCTCCCCATTCTTCTGACAGTGGCCATTTTTACTAAGGGCATATTATTATATCTCACTTTACTCCCTGGAACTCTGGTACATGTGACCATACACATCATCTCAGGGGCGGAAAATGCCTTTCCCTGAGATCTGAGATTACAGAGAAGATTCCCCAGCAATGTTCTGCGGATGTAACCTTCCCAAGATGCAATGCTTGGGCACGATTACATTATTTGTGCCAAAGTGAACCAGGAAAGGCGAAAAAAATAAGTTGTAAGTAAAATACAAATATGTTTAACTAATGAATGTAAGATGAGTTCATATAAGCATAAAGAGCTGTATGCTGATGGGGGTAAAGGTCCCCTTTAAGTGCTCAGTTATGCTAACCCAAACCTTGGAGCTGGATAGCTGCATTCTTAAGTCCTTTACACTGTATATAAAACTTGATGACTCACAGACCTTAGAAGGGGACAGAGGCTCCAGGGACAAGCCTCCGAGGATTGGGTGAGGATAACTTTTTTTTTTAGCACCTAGACATAAACAAGCACTTAACCTTGCAGCGCCGGATAGCCCCACTTGAAGAGTTAAGATCACTTTTGCTTAAGGTTCTGCTTTAAAGGAGAAGTATTCGCAGAGTAAAATGTACTCTACCCAATACTTAGAGCCAGCATATGATACTTGAGTGTCACATACTGGCTCTATACTGTACATTGAGATGCTGATTGCAGCTCATTCCCCAGCAAGAGAAGCAGGGGAAGAAGCTGATCAAGCACAATGTGCTAGGAAAAGCAAGCAGCTAAGTCAGTCTACACCGCTAGTCACATGCAATGTATTACACCAGCCAATCAGAATACATTTTTATTGATTCAATTTCAGGTATATACAGTGAGGGGAATTTATCAAAACTGGAGCAGACAAAATTTGGAGCAGTTGCCCATGGTAACCAATCAGCATCTCTCTTCAGGTTGCTCAGGTAACATTTGAAAATGAGAAGAGAAGCTGAATAGTTGCACTGCAAATCTGCTCCAGATTGTGTCTGCTCCAGATTTGATAAGTTACCCCCAGTATGTTTGATAACCAAGGGACATAATTATCAGCAGCGAATGTGCCTTTCACCAAACATTCACTGATGGTGAATCCACCACTGACATTTGAAACACATTCATGTGGAAGATTAACCTGCAGTGAATGCCACCTTCACTGCTTTATAAATATGCCACAGTCTTTTTATAAATGAGCACAATATCTACTTGGTAAACAAGCAAGTTATCTCAGTATAAAGGCACAATCCACCTCTACATAGAGAAGTTATACACAAGCAAATTACAATCCTTACAGCCCGAAGTCACACCTTGTGTTCACCTAAAAACAGTGACTACAAACAGCACAGAGGGGAGATAGATGTTGCTTGATCAATGACAAGGTCACACAACACAAAGCAGATGGGTCCTTCTCCTCTTACCTCTCCCATTCAAAGTTTTAAAAATGGTTGTGGAGGGCAACACCATGGATCTGCCCTTCCCTGCAGTGGCCTGTGGAAACCCATGTTTTTTCATAAAGTTTGACAAAAGTAGGAAGGTGAAAAGTAGGAAGGTCAGAATAGGGTTGCCACCTTTTCTTCAAGCGTAACCCGAACACTCTAGCGACATGCTGATATTTTTTTGGGAGAATGAGTTGTGGCTCATTCATATGTAAATAGTGCCACCCATTCATATTTAAATATCACAGTTGAGTTGGTACCGGTCCGTGGATCAAATGGTACCGGGCCGCCAAAGGAACATTAACTGCCTCCGGGCTGGCCGTAGTAGAAAAACGGCCGGCCCGGAGCTCTCTAGATCTGAGTGGGCGTCTTTAGACGTCCGCTCAGACACGCCCCCTCGCGCGAGAGGGAAATTGCCATTTTTTAAAAATAGGCAGCGATGCCTGTTACCATACAAGCAATCTGCCGGCTTTAGAGCCGGTGGATCGCGTGTATGGGGTGCCGATCGGTGTGCTGTTACATATCGCCGCGAACGTCGGAGTGAGAGCAATAAGTCTAGGGCCATCAATCACTGATGACACTAAACTGATGAGCGGTAAAAGCTTTTAAAGTGTCGCCTATGTCCAATTTTGGGTATGGTAGTTTTATGCGATTTCGCGGGTGCGCGCAATTTTAAAGCTTGACATGTTTGGTGTCTATTTACCCGACGTTACCCAATATTTTATATTTTACCAAAAAACTGGTAATAATAAATGTTTCCTAACATAATGTAAAAAAATACTTTTTTTTTTTCAAATTTTTCTGTAATTTTTCCTAATTATAATAAAAAATAAAACCCCCAGTGGTGTTTAAATACCACCAACATAAAGCTCTATCTGTCCCCAAAAAATGGTATAAAATTAATTTCAGTACAGCGTTGCATGACGGAATAAATGTCAGTCAAAGTACTGCAGCGCTGAACACTGAAAAATGGCCTGGCCAGGAAGGGGGTCTAAACACCTGGTCTTGAAGTGGTTAAATTATTTCCATTTTATTTACTGTGGTGTATTTCTCTCGGGTTTGTCCGACTTTCCAGGACGAGAGGTTAACCGGGAGAGACGTCACCTAAAGCCGCACCAATACCGCGCATGCGCAAAATATCGTGATATCGGGGCGGTTTTAGGTGACGTCTGGAGCTGAGCGGCTGCAAGCGGCAGTGGCGTTGTAGCTTTGGTAAAGAGAAGGTGTGTATCGCTCTTCTCTCTGTTCACCGGTACTTTCTCATGTTTAACAGTGCTTGGTGTACGTGTATATTGTGTTTGCTCAAATTTAACCCACAAATTAGCCCACGTTCTAGTGAGTTAAAATGTTAAATCACTTTATATTTATTTTTTGGTGTAACTGTATTTTATTTTTAAGGCATGTTTAAATACAATTAAATTTAAAACGTTGACCGGTCCGCGGCGATAAAAAGGTTGGGGAGCACTGCAATAGGGGGCCAGTAGCCCCTATCTTAATTTTGGTTCTCCCTGTCTGCCTGACATCTTGTGTCTGGGTTTCTGCTGCCATGAAACCCGGACACAGCATTCAAAACCCGGACTGTCCGGGTGAATACTGGACAGCTGACAACCCTAGATAAGAACATTTTGGAATGCTTGTCCACGGCAATGGTGAAAACATTTACAGTATTTAGATCTTATCTTTGCATTCTTGTGAGAACTAGTGGAGCGTGGTTTTTACATCTGCAGGATTTAACAGATTCCATGGAGGAGGAAGGATGAATCTCTTTATACCTACAAAACAGGGCTGTTTGGGGAATGCAGGGC